TAAAATTACTTCAAAAAATTTTAAGAGTTTGATTGAATATCTGGTTGACATCGCTGGTTGAATATACCTAATCACAATATTTCTGAAGGACATTTTTTACTGTAAAAAAAAGTAGTGGAAAGAACTTTTGAAAAATGTTAAGTGAAACATCTTAACGACCTGGCGATATATCGTGACGTATACGGATTTTGTAAGAAACCGGGAGATTTTCATGGTCCTTCTATGTTAATACCAGGGGAGTAAAGGACGTATCTGCGATTTTTTAATTCTCTTCTTTTGTGAAGGTTGCAGTTTTGCAGGAAATCTAGAGTTCTTTAGTTTTACATTTCAATTATTTCCGCATTCAAAATCAATATCGCTAGATTAGAGGCTTCTCAAGCTGAAAAAAACCAATATATTTGACGTCGAGAATGGAGAAAGGATAAAGCATCAACAACCTTCGGTGTCTTAAAAAGTAGTGAAACTCGTGTGATAATTGTTCGACGTAGGTTTTGAGTGCGCTTCTGAATGCATGACCGAACAGCTTTGATACATTCAGATGAATTGTTCAGTCCAGGGTGCACCAGTCTCCCTCCTTTCCAACTTTTCTGGCACATTCCTAAACTGCGTTCTTTGGTAACCAGAAGTTCTTCCTGTGAATAGGCTAAGAATGCAAGCAAAGACAAACAATAACAAACAACTCGTGGTCCAGGTAGCGTTGCTACAAAATGTTGTTGGGTGGAACCAGTTTTTAACGTACATGTATATGCTTCGAAAGCTATAAACATGAAACTTCATTGGTTGCAACGTTTGTCAACACCAATTTTTTGGTGGCGTTCGTATTGCTCAGTCTTTAGTTTTCTAAGTAGTGGGTGTTTTTTTACTTGCTTATCTTCTCCTTGTGATCCGTTTTTTCTTTTGTTGTTGCTATGATGTTGTCAGTTTTCTTGGACTTATAAGTTTTAAAATTGAAAATGGGGAATGTGTCAAAGAGACAACAACCCGACCAAAGAGCAGAAAAGGCCACCAATGTCTCTTCAACACAGCGAGAAAATCCCTCACCCGGAGGCGGGCTTCAGCTGTTTCCTAAACAAAATGTACTAGATCAAAGAAAATGGACGTCACACCAAACTCAGAAAAATATAAATAAACTAAAATTTAAAAACATACAAAACTAACAAAGGCCAGAGGATCTTGACTTCGGACAGGCGCAAAAATCCCTTTTTTCGAGATCTCAACTCTCCCCTATACCTCTAGCCAATGTAGAATAAACAAACACACAGCAATATGCACAGTAAAAGTCAGTTTGAAAGAAGGCCGAGTCCGTGTCATAATAGGTAACAAAAGAAACTAAGCAAAATGACAATGATACATAAATTAACAAGAGACTACTAGCAGTTACTGACATGCCAGCTCCAGACTTCAATTAAACTGATTGAAAGATTATGTCTTCATCATATGAAAATCAAGCACAATCCCTCCAATTAGGGGTTTAGTATCATATCATTATAAAATATATGAGAACAACATAACTCGTATCATGCCAACAACTGGTATTAGAATAAATGTGTTTATTTTCGATGCAAAGACCCTATGAGTGAATCAATATTAATACCAAAATATGCCATCTTTAATGATCTGACAACAGTATCATAACTATATCCCTTCTGAATAAGTCTGTTTAAAGATTTGGTTAAAAGATTGAATGTGAAATACCTGAACGTATAAGATGTCTGCATGTTGATTTATATTTACGAATGATGTCCTTGTACCGATGATAAACTTTAGTAAATGTTTTGACTAGTTTGTGATATCGAAAACCCTGGTGTAATATTTTTTCAGTAATACCGAGATTTCGTTCATTAAAATCAAATACGTTGTTACATACACGAGCGAATCGAACAAGTTGAGATATATAAACACCATAAGATGGTGACAAGGGAACGTCACCATCTAAAAATGAATAATTGACAATAGGAAATGAAAACTCATTTTGGTATTAAGCTTCCCGTTAAAGATATAGATATCAAGATCCAGGAAAGGGCAGTTTTCATTGTTAGTTTTAGCTTTATTTAAAGTCAGTTCAGCCGGATAAATCTCTTTAGTTTACATATTTAAGTCGTCATGATTGAGAGCCAATATAATCATCCAAATATATAAAAGTGTTATTAAAATTTTGTATCAGATGTTGTTTCGATTGGTCTTTGCTGATTTTAGTCATAAATTGTAACTCATAACAATACAGAAACAGGTCTGCAATAAGTGGTGCACAGTTAGTCCCCATTGGAGTTCCGATAACTTGACGATATACGGAATCTCCATAGCGTCCAAAATGTTATCTAGTAAAAATGCAAGGGCAGTTATCGTATCAAAGCAGGTCCAAATGACACAGTTCTTTTGTTTGTTGTTACTAAAAAATTACTTACAATAGTGCACATATATATTCGCATTCTGACTTTTTAAATGCCAATTTAATCAGGTGTGTAAATTTTTTCTTAATAAGATTATGAGGCAAAGTGGTATATAGGGTAGAAAAATCTAAACTTTGAACCGATTCGAAATCACCAATATAAGCATGCAATTTATCGAGTACTTCCAACGAATTTTTGACACACCAAAAGTAATTAATTCCACTATTTTCAAAGTCCTTATTTGAACAATTTATTACCGTCCTTATTTGAACAATTTATTACCGTCCTTATTTGAACAATTTATTACCAGGTTTTTGATTGTACCACATGTACTAGTAAGTAGAATAGATAGTTTAGTAGTGGAACAATGGCTTGAAGACGAAATAAATCTATATTTGTAAGGTGTTTTGTGCAGCTCCGGAAGTCAGTACATAGTTGGAACTTGTATTTGGTTCTGCTTGTAAGCAGGTAACTAAAAGATTATGTTTGTTACAGATGTCATTTTCCGAAAATAGAGAAGGAATGTTGGTGAATTCGTGATTTCCTTTTGCAGAACCTCAATGTAAAATTTACGTCAAACAATAATGATATTATTAGCAGCCTTATCAGCAGGGACAAAAACAAATTCCTTGGCGAGTTCTTTTAGCTTATGTTTAATACGAGAAATAGGGCTATTATGGTTGTTGTTAGGAGTAAAATGTTCTTTAAAATTTTTAATATCAACTATGTTCATTACTGAATTAAAAAAAGAATCTAAGGATTTTTTGTCTGCTTGTTCTTGTTTTATCCATTTTCGAGCAGTAAGTACGGAGTGAGTCGTGGATGATGTTATGACACTCATTCCAATTAATAATTGACAGGGGACGATATTTAGGTCCTTTACTGAGGAATGATTTCAACTCTCGGTCATGAATGATGTTAAGGTCTCCTGTTATAACATGGGAACTGGAGCCATAAATGTATTTGGAATTACTGCAATTTCATGACGTAGGTGTATTGTCACTGATATTAATATCTTTACACACCTCCCTATAATTAAATACTTATTTCCGGGTAGATTTTTATGTAAACATAGCAAATAAGAGGAAGTTAAGTATTATCAAAATAGCCAGGAATTTGTTCTTTAACAGAATGATAATTAAAAATACCGGCAATATTTACAAAATCAAAACCTTTATTGACATATTTGATTTTAATAAAATGTTTTTATGACCTTCAGGGCGATCAATTTTGGGAAACAATTATTTTAGAAATATGCAATTATAATTTGGGCGATTTCATACTTAGGACTGCAATATGGAATTGTGTTGCAATCCTCTAAAATTTGATGTAATTCATTAACAGGTAAAGAACAGACCTTGGTTAACAGATAATGTCTGCAGTTGGTTTTTGAAAAAGTAATTAGGTCCGAACTATTTGTATTGTTGGTACGAAATTTTCTCTGATTGCGATTCATTCTACGCCTGTGAGAACGGTTTTTACGAACAGTTTTAGAAACTATATCCAAAATGTAAACAGAATCAGTTCTTGATATATTACCAATTCCCATGATATTATCAATAAGACCGCGAGGATAGACTTTCTGTATTTTTTTAATCCAATTGAATTCAATTATTTCCGTGATCGTTCAAACTTTGAATGAGATTCCCCAGGCTGCTTATTTACTACTTCTAAAGGTTGAATTGTTTAATATTTAGTAGGATGATTTTGCTTCTTAAGGTGTTGATAAATGTTTCTTCTGAATTTATGGGGCCTTTTAAAACGATAATGGTGTGCTTGCGTGCATTTAGATAAATAGCGCCCAGTTTCAACTAAGTACTGAATACCGCATCCAGGTTTGTTTCATGTGAGTATATAGATAATACTGTTAGCTTTTTAATTTATATAAGTTTCAAAATTTAAGGAAAATGTGCGACAACTAAACGTGGACCTTACCGTATTGTTGGTGGAAAGACGGGGACATGTAAATCATTTTTTGGCATGACACTTATCAATCGAAGGGTGACCACGATTTGTCCTTTTGGGATATTCCGCTTCTAACTTACACATTTATTTTGGATTGTTTGAATCTGAACTTTTTTTTTTATAACTAAATCTGAAACCAATGGAGTTTATGCACATGAGAGGACTACCTTGACTTTTGTTTTTTTTTTTTTTCTTCAGAAAATGAAATGTCGTTTTATCGATAAAAATATACCATATTGTCTAATATGTATATCTATGTACAATGACAAGTTGTAAATGATATTTGTTCCGCCTAACAGAATTTCTACTGAAAACTTTATTATAAACAATGCCATAATATCTGTTCCTGTTGGAACAAATTTTTTTTTTTCTTTATTCCATTATGAACAAGTACTTTAACATTTATTTCAGTCGAAATAATATAACAGATTATTTCTTCCGTTGTGAACGTATATTATGAAAGAACTTCTATTTCATTTTCATTACGTGTGAAGTATTTATGACAGGTAGAATATTAGTCCTGACCAAGTCGTCATTAGAATTACTGTAATGAAGGTAATCATCCAGTAATTTCAAAAGGGTTAATTCTGTCTAACTTCACTATTAACAGTAAGTAGCATAATTTTCATTTCAAATTGTGTGAGAAATTAAACCAATTACTGCCATCATGTAAATTGCTTTTGCAAAACACGTGCATAACATTTCAAATTTGAATACAAGCTCACACTTTTCTGAAAGTCTGAATGTTATTTCTTTGTATCAAAATAATGTTTTGGTTATTTATTTTCTCTATTTTGTCGCTACAATGTATCAGTTCAAGGACCCATTTTATACGAAACGAGTCTTTGGTAAGTCATCTTTTTTCCACACGTATTGACATATTTCATATAATAATTGAACTACGATTAAAAAATGTTGGAATGGAAAAACTATATATAACTATGTTATTCTGAGTATTTTTATCGAATGCATTTCATTTGAAGTTGATCTTTAAACGTATCTGTGATATTTCGAGTGACTTATGTCAATGGGCTAAACACTTGTTACAGAGTGAAATTGGCGCTCAAATCTTCACATTAAACAAGGAGTGACAAAATTAAGCGCAATGTAGATGCAATAAAATAAAATAGAATACTTTTGCATTCGAATAATTTTTAAATTCCTATTTATATCACATGGAATGAGGTAACAGAACAATTTAAGATATTCAGTGATAACGTGACCAAGGTTATCACTGAATAGTTTAGGGGCCAGCTGAAGCCCGCTTCCGGGTGCAGGATTTTTTCGCTGTGTTGAAGACCCATTGGTGGCCTTTGGCTGTTTTCTGCTGTTTGGTCGGGTTGTTGACTCTTTGACACATTCCCCATTTCCATTCTCAATTTTATCTCCCATTCATACTATGCAATCAACATTTCTTTCAAATATCGATATCGCACTTATTTAGAGATTTCTACCTCATCTTTTAAATGTATCTTCAATTTTCTTTCTGAACACATGACAATAGCTCTTAAGTTAAGCAAAGTTTTGAACACAGAAATTCTAGAATTTATTTTGATTCATTTCGAAGTGAAACTTAGTTTGATTAATAAGAAAGTGGTACATTTTAAAATCTTCATATGAAAGTCAACCATTGGAATTAAATGGTAAGAATATTTACCCCCAGATTTTGATGGGGTCCGTGTTGCTCAGTCTTTAGTTTTCTATTTGTGTTTTGTTTAGTATTGTTTGTCTGTTGGTCTTCTTCTTTTTTAGCCATGGGGTTGTCAGTTTTATTTTCGAATTATGAGTTTGAATGTCCCTCTAGTATCTTTCGCTTCTCTTACGTTTCATTGCACTTGCTAATTACAACAAAAATGCGCTTAAAATTGACCGAACGTATTTGTCAGGTAATCAGTCTGATGAATCAATCCAAACTGCATCTTGTATAAGTGTTTAGCCCATTTTTCTTTATGTGATGACAAAGCCTAATTGATCAGCAAATTCAAAACCGAACATAGTAGCTCCCATTTACAGAATACTAATTACCTATCAATTATCCATTGTCAATTGTTCGGGGTTGGCGGGTCGGATTGTTTAATTCATTTTTTATAGAAATATGTTTAATCATTTTGATAAATATTCGAAGCAAAAATTATGGATGTATGGAAGATTGGATAACCATCAATACATTATGGTTCATAAATTCAAGAATTTAATTTTGATATGTATGGGAAAAAATACAGAATTAAATATAAGAAATATATATTCAGGATAGTTTTGAAATCATCAGACCATTGGATTACGCCGACGTCAGACTTCTCAAACTAACAAGGTCACAGGTTCCTGTCAAATCTGTGTACACCCTACATATAATGGCACCATCTGACACCGACTTTAGGGCATTAGATGATCGCACAGGTACAGTTTTACCTATGGAATTGTCAAACCGTGAGTATTCTTGTAATTTTATTGTAAAATAAAATTCAATAGGACATTCCATGAAGGTCTTTACGTTTATAGATACATTTTTCTAATTTGCAATGTAGATTCCTAACATACAAAGGAAAACTCAGAGCACACTAATTACAGGACCTATAAACAGTTTGAAATTCTAGTTTTACAAAGCAAATATAAACAAAATGAAGCATGTAGAGACAGGCAGCAAGGAATGTTAAAGTCACTTGTATTATATTTATTATTTTATTTTTTTTTTTTTTTTGAAATTTTAACGGCAAAAAAGAGATATGATGATAAAAGGAAGCTAAAACGAGTGGATCTCATATCGTTTCTAACATAGTATTTTCCATTGTTAACAGTAGTTTTTATCCAATTCTTTAAATGAAATGTAAATAAAAAATAAAACAAATCGTATTTCATCACTCTTTGGGCCTGTTCAATTACACAGGCAAACTATATCATTAACTATTCGAAGAGTTGGTATTGTATTCATCCAAGAAACAAAGACATATTATTTTGTTTTTAAGGCAATCTTGATAAAAAATAGATCACCAAAAGATATTCAATTATATTCTTACAGCACTTAAAGTACACCTGTAAAACGATTGATTGAACGAATGTGAATTATATTACTTGTTTCTGGTTAAATAGAAGTAACTTGGTTTTTCTCAAATATTTGAAATAAACATCTTTTAATCTGTCTTTTCTTGTATTCGAATAATTCGTTTATATATCAATAAATGTATTTTCTTTAGTGGTGAAATTTATTCCAATTGTGAATTATCACATGAATTGTTGTAAACGAAAAACCTACTCACAAATCTCCAACCAGACGACAATACGTTACATACGGTGTATACGTTTTACCTGATTTTGTTTTTCTTTGATGGCGGATTTCAACATGAATGTACCTTTCAGGGTTGATGTTGAATAAATACGTAATGCGAAAAATAAAAAATCATTGAAAATGTTTCCTTTATGTTTGAATTTTAGCTACCAGCGATGGAGAATTTACGGTAATTGTAGAGGTAAAAGAAGATTCAACCCAACCAAGAATAAAAGCTTGCTCAGCTTCAATAGCTATCAATTTTACTGTTGATATCAATCATAGCTCTACTAAGAAAATTCCAGAGAGTTTTGATTTTAGTAGCTGTCGCTATAGTGTTGCAAGGAAATTGTCACCTGACATCCACACATACAGGGTTGAAAATATAGGATGTGGAAGAGTTCAATCTTCTACTTTCGAACAAATGCATATGTATAGGAGCATTCCTGGATATCCAGAAACAACATTATTGTTTACTGTTGGAGGAACAAGGTATCCAGAATACTACAACTCAACCATGGTAGGTGGTACTTCTGTCACTGAGGAATATGATTACGTCTCTACATGGAACATTAATCAATCCGCTATGAATTCAGATGGTATTCAGGTTAAGGAGCTAGTACTCTCTATATGGTCGATAACCCGCTGGACCAGTGATCCTGTTACACACATGGAAATCACCCAACACATATCGTAACATGAAATACAACGTTACAATTATTTATAATTAAATGATTTTCAGAATTGTAATTATTGACTTGCCTGAGATTAATGTCGTTACACAAGACAGTGATTCCACTTTTTGCGCCACGACGTCGTTGTCAATACCTAACATTATATAAAGAAAGGGTGATATCGCATGATTGCTGATGAGACAACAATCCAATAAGGCCGAAGGAAAACTATGCGAACAATGTCTTCTGCTTGTGGACCGTTAGTCCCTGAAGGTATCACTAGCCCAGTAGCCCGTACTTAGGTAATGACATGAAAATACTGATATCGTTATCAAATTCAAAATATCATTTTAAATTATGGAATGTATCTCCCTCGTGCATACCTCTGGTTCCATGTCCGAGTTAGGTATTACTTATAGGCCATTTTGGTTTTATCAGCTATTCAATAAAAATAAAATTGAGAATGGAAATGGAAATGGGGAATGTGTCAAAGAGACAACAAACCGACCAAAGAGCAGAACACAGCCGAAGGCCACCAATGGGTCTTCAGCACAGCGAGAACATCCCGCACCCGGATTACAATGATACATAAATTAACAAGGGACTACTAGCAGTCAATGTTTGTATTAGGCTTTGGATTTTCAATATGTTGGTCAAAAGCAGCAATGAAGATACATTTATTGTCGAAATACGCATCTGTGCAATAAATTTCATACTGTTGAAATTAATACAGGCTACCGTTAAGCTTTACATAATTAGAAAAACTCTTTACCGTATAATTAACAATAATAGGCATCAGAATGACAAAATGTTTAACAATTCAAAATAGAAAACAAATGACCATTGAAGTCTAAAACGTCACTTCAGGCACAGGCATAGCAAACGAATTGGAAAATAAACAAACCGTAAAGAGGGGTCAAAAGCATACCACCGTCATAAAAAGGAAAAATAACAATAGGAAACGAAAAAGTCGTCTCTTTTGTCGTAAATGTTTTGAATATCCAAATCCAGAAAAAGACAATTATTTTGTTTGTTTATAACAGATTTAATTAATGTCAGTTCCCATTTATTTGTAAATTTCGCAGTATAATTATAGAATCTTGATTGTTTAATACAAATATATATTAGGTCTTTACTGAGTTTAGTCATAAACTGTGTTTCTAAACCATTCAGGAACATAATGTTATCTGCTATTAAAGGGGCAATATTAGTGTTCAAAGGAATACCTGTCGGTAAACTATACTATATAAAAGAACAATGATGAGGGTCTTGATGGGTGGGAGGTTTGGGGTGTGGTATTCATTTTTCGTATTCTTTAAGTTCCAAGACTTTTTTTTCTGTAATTTATTTGGTCAATTCATCTCTATTCTTTACTTTTGGTCCATTATTCTCTATTCGGTGATCCCCATCAGCCAGACACTCATAGGTCATCACAAATCAAGAAAGGAGAATTATGAGATTTATGCTTCGGTAGATTACCTTGGGTTTACTTTCCTCCAAGTTTAAGGTAAAAAACCAGTATAAAGGTGCAAATGACTTGTGGGTATCTCGAAGAGAATTGAAAACAAAAGAAGATACATCTTACCTACTCAAAATTCACCACTGACACTGGATAAATTCAGTTATCAGATACTTAGTAATCGTTCAAATATTTCAAAACTTTGGATTTGAGCGTTCCTGATTAAGGTATATCTAGAAAACCGCTCAGGACGCAAGAAATTCATGAAGTGGTATTTTCATCTACAACTATATACAGTGTAACAAGAATGCAATAAGGAGCGTTAAAGAATTTCAAGGTTCAAGAATTCTCGTAATTTATAGGTCAAATATGAACTCATCATGGATACCAGGAATAAAATTGTGTACGCCAGATGCGCATTTTTTCTACAAAAGACTCACCAGTGATACTCGAATCAAAAAAGTAAAAAAGGCCAAATAAACTACAATGTTGAAGAGCAATGAGGACCCAAAATTCCAAAAGACTATGTCAAAAACAGCTACGGTAATCTATTCAAAGTTCAATTATTGAATTTGAATCATAAATTTGAAACAAGAAACACAATAGAGCGCAAACATTGAGCAAAAAAATCAGTTTATTTACTTTTCTTATAGTTAATTTTTAGGTTTGATATCAGTCCTCAGATATTGAATGCACTTTGATGATATAACTTTGTGTGTCAAGAGCATGCAAACAATGTACAAAGAGCCCCGCTTAAAAACTTTTTCCTTCATTCACCAGTCTTTTATTGTTGTATGACAATGCGAGTTACGTTCTGAGGTACTCACTGCTTCAAATAATATTGTCAATGAGGAAGTATGAAATTCCTCCACCAAACTTGAGTCCCCCCCCCACCCCCCCCCCCCTTTTGTTTTTGCTGTACCCCTATTTTATTCGACTGTCATACAAGTGAGAGGTTAATCAAGCTATAAAACAAGGTTTAATCCACCGTTTTCTACACAAGGAAATGCTTGTACCAAGTCAGGAATATGACAGCTGTTTTTCATTCGTTTGATGTGTTCAAGCTTTTGATTTTGCCATCTGATAAGGACTTTCCGTTTTGAATTTTCCTGAGAATTCGGTATTTTTGTTATTTTACTTTTGATTAACGTTTGAAATCAACTCATAATTACCTTGTCACCATCTATTATATGTGTTATAACTCAAACAATTATCATAGACATAGGAATTAAAAATAGGTAACTTTTATTGTCGTTTAAGTCAGATCTTGAAAGTAAATCTGAGGACAAGGGTCCTTTTCAAAATATATAGTAATTTTCAAAATTATAAACCAAAATGACAGATTAAATTTACATGTTTATTTAGGGTATGGAGATTATCATTATTCATGAAGAACCATTCTGGTATTGATCTGCAGTCAAGGTCAGCCTGATGTAATTATAATTGATAAACCTTAAATAAAGTCACCATAGATACCAGGATTGAAATTAAGTGTCTAGTCTGCAACAAAAATTCCAGAATGTGAGACAAATCAACTGACAACTCCATTGCTAAAAAACAAAAGACAAACAGACAAACAATAGTACAAAAAACACAACATAAAATCAGTAAAACAGTGTGTAGACATGAGAAAGTGTCATATAATCGTACGAATGGTGTCCTAAAATTCAGATCAGCACTATCTTTATGAGAAGTTCGGAACAAACAGCATTTGCTATCTTTAAAAAACTCGTCCACGTCCCAATTGCGATAACATTAATCTTATTTGATTCGCCGTGGCTATTCACCTGGATCTAGGCAACAATATATATATATATATGTTACAGGCATTTTCTAAATTTAGGTATTTTGCAAAATGACTGAATTTTCAGGCAATTTATAAAATGCCTAACCTTGACAGGCATTATATAAAATGACTAAAAATACCTAGTCATTTTGTAAAATGACTGAAATTTTGAAACAAAATTCAACAAATTGCCTGTTAAGTTTCAGGCAATTTGCAGAAAAAGGATATCATTGACAAAAAGTGGACATAAACACAACATCTTGTAAAGAAAATAACTAATGGTTCGGTAGAATTAATGTATTCTTCAAAAACCAGCTGGGAAAGTTTGTATGTCATATAATATGTTCTTTTTAGTGAAACTACGTTAAGTATGTACTCACTCTGTATTTGAGATAGTAAATTCATGATTATTTTGTCAAAATGGCAGAATGGCAATTTGTTCTTTTAATAGAGCAAAATTTACAAACGAATTTTAAGAAAATCCAGATCCAAAACAGTGATGTGAAACATATGAAGCAGAGAAAAAGAAGTTTGTTTTAATTGACCGATTGGTTTGTTTGCTTTCAGTAGCAAATATTTAATGCATTTTTAAGACGAGCAATTTGGTTATAATTCATATGGGTTATTTCTGCAGTGGATTAACCTGGATAAAGGACAGGAATTTCGACTGCCGCTTGAAATGAAGGTATTTTAGATAGAGATAGAAAATTCCACCTGCAGAACGGTCAAAGAGTTCTTAACGTGCAGAGAGTGTTGCACTTTACACAATACACAATGTTGACTGCTGTACCCTTATTTGTGACATTTTTACCTATTGTGTCTGTTTGTTTTGTTCACGCATCGTTGTCAATATAATGGAATTTGATGCGACTGTCATACAAGTGAGAGGTTTAGCTAGCTATAAAACCAGGTTCAATCCACCATTTTCTACATAAGAAAGTGCCTGTACCAAGTCAGGAATATGACAGTTGTTTTCCATTCGTTTGGTGTGTTTGTTTTTTTTTTTATTTTGCCATTTGATTGGGAACTTTCCTTTTTGAATTTTCCTCGGAGTTCAGTATTTTTTGTGATTTTACTTTTTACTAACATGCGGCAATATATTTAATGTCCCCATACAGAAAGAATGAGAATGTATACATCCAAACAAATTCCCCTCTATAGCATGGGTTTCGCCATACAAGGCCGTATTTGGTTGTGATGCAAAGATATAAGTATCTTCATCTTCACTGCCTCAAGGAAATTCACGGGTCCTTGCAATCTAATGAATTAATAATCAGAATCAGTAGTTAACTGTGGTTAAAATCTCGAAAATCGACCAAGAAGTGACAAATAACGGTGCATTGACAGGGTAAGCGTCTCCTGTTATAGCTGCATTACCCGTCAGGGGTAGATCTGCTTCAGTCCGTTAAAAGCCATAAGCCAAAAGATGCATGTCAAACTAATCATGATAATGTACTTTGAATCTTTTCGGAACATGAAAAAGAAGATATTCATGTGTGACGTGTGTGCTTATTGCGAAACCTAATGTTGTCGAACGTTAAGTGTTTTATCAGAAAAGGTAATGAAAGAGCTAAATGTGTCATGATCCAGGTTTCTCCAAATGTGGTCGAAGTACTAAAACCAGATTTGACGCCAAACAATGTATTTGCAAAAAATAGGACAAATATTGTGTAACAGTTCTGTCATCCAAACATTTTAAGAAATAACAAATAATTGTCGAGTTCTGTGCTTGTGTGAATTTGGAATAATTCAGTAAAACTTATTTTTGATTATTAAAACTCTTAAATTGCAAGCTTGAAATTCAGTAATTATCATAAATAAAACTGCTCTGTTGTTCAAAGCTCTCAATTGTTTTTTTAACATTTCATTCTATAAAATAGTTTCAGGCATTTTACAATTTTTCCAGGCATTTTGTAAAATGCCTAGAAAAATTAGTAATTATGTAAAATGCCTGAATCTTGCAGGCATTTTAGAACATGCCTAAAGTTTTAAGGCATTTTACAAAATGCCTAAATTTAGAAAATGCCTGTAACATATATATATGTATGAATACAGCCCATAAAAGTGGCATCGGTCGTCAAAGACATATCCATCGATTTGACTCAAAATTATAAATTTGTTTCAGGCCGTTTCATGATTCCAAGTTCAGGTCCGAGTCTTGGCTCGCAGAAAATATTTTTCTTATTTGTTTTTCAATTTTGACAAAGAATTATAAAATAAATTTAACAAAATCTTAACAGAAATCCATTGAAAAATAAAAAATAAATTGAAGCTCGAATGCGTCTGACCGTAGAATTTCAGGCCGGGTCTCAATTTCATTCCCCGAGCATGTCCGACTTTTGACATACAGTAAATGATGTAATTCTTTTTATTTTTTCTTTATACAATACTTAACTTTACTTTTAATAAAATACAAACTTGAACATGTTTACACAATTTGTAATGTATTTCTGTAATTAAATTTTTACTTATTTTGTGTTATATTTACCACCTTTTATAAATTTTCACTTCTGTACTCGTACTCTGAACTACAAAATTATCATATTTTGATGTACCTGTGTACGTTGTTTTATTACTACCTTCACTTAACATACTATGAGGAGAAATGATAAAATTTCAACAACTAACTTTGACCAAAGGACAAATATGCGAACAATTACGTCTGTTTCTAAACTGCACAACAGATATAAGAAGATGTGGTATGAGTGCCAATGAGACAACTCTCCATCCAAGTAACAATTTGTAAAAGTAAACCATTATAGGTGAAAGTACGGCCTTCAACATGGAGCCTTGGCTTACACCGAATAGCTATAAAGGGCCCCAAAATGACTAGTGTAAAACCATTCAAACAAGAAAACCAACGGTCTAATCTATATAAAAAACGAGAAACACTTATGAACCACATCAACAAACGACAACCAATGAATAACAGGTTCCTGACTTAGGACAGGTGCAAACAATTGCAGCGGATTTAAACGTTTTAACCGGCGCTAACCTTCATCCTAACCTAAAATAATAGTGTAACATCACAACATAGAAAGACACACTATAAAATATCAATTGAAATAGTTAAACTCAATCAAAAGATATATTAACAAAAACAAGTAAACAAGTAAACATACACTGAATAAATTTGATCTATCCCACAATGTTAATACAAAATTAATAAAGCATAGTTACCATTACTTTATAGGTACTAGAGTGAAATACGGATAACGTTATAAAAATTTGATTAATGATTGTATCTCTCTGATTAACAGCTCTGATTCCGTGTCCGGGTTCGGCTTTACTTTACAATCTTTTGTGTTGTTTTAACCTTTCAGGTTATTGATTTTCACATGATTTGACCATGAGCATTAAGGATGAGATTAATTGTCAAAAGGCACATTCAATGCAGTAAAATTGATACCTTTTTTTTATTAATATCAATGATACTACACGTCATCGTAACACATTTAACAATGAGCATTACCTATAACCGTGTAATATTCTTTAAAAGGCACCCGGGTTACAACAAAATAATAATTTAAAAGAGAAAACCAATGTCCTGATTTCTAATCCGTTATAGAACCACTTATTCGTGCCCGTCAGAAAATACATTCCTGAAAGTAGTACATATTTATAAACAAAAAATTCTACGGCAATGTCATGTAGGTGTAACTTTGTCGAAAAGTACATAAAATTTGGATAATTTTCACAGAAATATGCATCCGTGCACCATGCTAACAGAAATGACTGCATTGTACTTTAGGCTGTTGGTAATAGTTATCCCATGAGGACGCGATGTTTCAGTGAAAGATCACCCTCCTGTCTCCGGCCATCGGGGTTATCTTACACTGAATCATCGCGTCTTTATGGGATAACTATTACTAATAGCTTAAAGTACAATGCAGTCATTTCTGTTATCATGGTGCAGGGATGCATATTTCTGTGAAAATTAGAAGGTTGTATTTGTTAAAATCCTGAAGTGTCAAACCCAAGACTCTTCCATTATTAAAAAACATAATTTGTAAAATTGATTCAATCAGCTATAAATAAAAAGATAAAAAAAATGTTAGAATATAAAAAGGAAGATGTGGTATGATTGCCAATGAGACAACTCTCAACAAGAGACCAAAAGACACAGAAATTAACTGCAATAGGTCACCGTACGGCCTTCAACAATGAGCAAAGCCCATACCGCATAGTCAGCTATAAAAGGCCCCGAAATCACAAATGTAAAACAATTCAAACGAGAAAACTAACGACCTAATTAATGTACAAAAAAATGAACGAAAATCAAATGTGTAACACAACAACAAACGACAACCACTTAATTACAGGCTCCTGACTTGGACAGGCACAAACATACAGAATGTGGCGGGGTTAAACATGTTAGCGGGATCCCAACCCTCCCCCTAACCTGGGACAGTGGTGTAACAGTACAACATAAGAACGAACTATAAAAATCAGTTGAAAAAGCATAACTTTAGTCTATTTAGTCTGTTTTTGGTGATATCCATTTGACGTGGCTCCGTAATTATACATCCCGTCATTGTGTTATTGTGCTATGGTAAATTTTGTATTGTTGTCTTTCATTTTTGCTAATGTACTTTGTTTATATGCCTTTTTGTGTTTCTTTGTTACATGTGACGTGGCTCTGTACTTATGCATCCTTTCATTGTGTTATTGTGCTATGGTAGATTTTTTTATTTTTGTCTTTCGTTTTTACTAATGTGCTTTGTCTATATGCCTTTTTGTGTTTCTTTGTTACATTGTCATATTTGTTTGTTTTTATAGTGATTAAGATTATAACACAATGTTGACTGCTGTAGCCCTATTTTTGACATTTTTACCTATTGTGTCTGTTTGTTTTGTTCACACATCGTTGTCAATATAATGGAATTTTATGCGACTGTCATACAAGTGAGAGGTTAAGCTTGCTATAAAACCAGGTTTAATTCACCATTTTCTACATACGAAAATGGCTGTACCAAGTCAGGAATATGACAGTTGTTATCCATTCGTTTGATGTGTTTGAGCTTTCGATTTTTCCATTTGATTAGAGACTTTCCGTTTTGAATTTTGCTCGGAGTTCGGTATTTTTGTGATTTTTTTTTTGTATAGAATTCTGGTTTGACCATTGCACATAATCTAGACACAACATGTTTCATTTGCAAAAAACAAAAATAGCATCTTAACTAAAAGAAAAAATTTTGTACGTTTCCAAATCCATTCTATTTTATTTTTTTCAACAATAATTGTTCTATCATCCTTCAACTCAATGATATGTCCTTGGAAGTATTTAATAATCACGATTTTCTACCGGATGTAAAAAGAATTATTAATCATTTACACGAAAAAGTACCATAGTTAACGACATATAATAAGCGACATTTTCAGTAATACCTCATCCCAAAGCCTTATAACCTAATGACTTTTTCATATATATATTTATATTCATGTATAGTGTTTTTGATCTCAGTCACATTTTCGATCATTCAAATGTTGCTTTGGGTTCTTGGTTTATGCCTTTGCCATGCAGGTTTGCTGTCTGCATATAATAACAGAAATCTACCAAAGGTAAGTAAATTTGATTTCATTCTTTAATTTGACATAATAAAATTGATATCTTTTAAATTAGAATATAGAAGATCCAAAACAGTGAGTTCAAAATATGCATTTAAATTTTTTTTTTTTAAATCGATTTTGAAAAGCTTGTTTCTAAAAACTTTTTTGATGGTTCCTTAACTACAGAATACGACAATACAAGACAAATGCTACTAAAAACAATTTTTGAGATCATTTCCTCAATAAATAGCAAAAATATTTTATGATTGTTTTTCTAGCAATAATTTGTTTATCATTTGCCAGAATGATATTACATCGTTAATGATGATGATTACTTCGATATCGCATGTCATCCGCTCATAAAACGTGTGTGAATATTGATATTACTGTATCACATGACATGAGCCCTAAAATCATACCATAAGATATCTGAAGTCTTTTGTTGAAAATTAAGACGATTGGGAAAAATTATGATTATTAGGATACCGATGATTATTTTTTGCCATCGTACATATGCATAAGAATAAGTAGCATAAATAATTCTTCCATGCGGTATTGCTGTCCTTTTAAGAGCAATATTAACAATTTTTTATAACATATTAAAATTGGAACCCTTAGATGAATTCATAGAAGACATGTACGCATAACACGATACTTTCATGGAAATTCATCTAACGGACAAAGTATTTTTATTAAATTGCCGTTGAAAGTATTAAAACTCTTATTTGCAATACAGAATACAGTCAAATAACACCTTTAAAGCATGAAAAGACTGAGAGTAGCAAAACAAATGTGTTATCGATACAGTTTTAAAGGAAACCCATTTCTAACCACCCAGAGACTATCATAAGACATGTATTTCGATGTTCTAATTTTTCAATTAATTTTAGGCTTATCTTAACTTTAGGATGTTTGCTATTCTGTTTCAAAATAACAACCTATTTAAATGACTGTCATAAACTGATAGTATATAAATAACTGAACCTAAAAAACAGAATAAAGTTCATGTCCTTGTTTTTATTTTAGATATAAACAATTCAAATATTGGCGGGAAATAATTTTCCCTAGATTTTTTATACATTTAACGTTGGCACCTTTTTTCCTTCGAAAACTATGAAAAAGTAACAAGGATTTTGTAAGATTTTAAGAAATTACCTTTTAACTACATGTATATGTTTTAAAATTATGGAAAGAAAAGTAGGGATTAGCGGGCAATGGAATTATACATTGATTAAACCAGAGGAATCAGAATATGCGACAAAAAGTCAAAAAGAAGACTAGCAAACATCCTTAAGACACATCACATAGGAACAAGATATCTTTTAAGACCATCTTATGACATGTCTTAGTCCTAAGATACTATGAAAAACCAGGATTTAGGGTCCAATATCCCATGTTATCCATTTTAGAAACAAATACCTTCTTATATTGCAGCTAACTGTTGAGTTTAAGTTTATCCGAAATCTTCATACAACAATAAAAATTCACATTTTCCATGAATATACAGAGGAACAAAACCTTTTATTTTAGAAAGCCTAAAAATAGAATAGCGTCCTTTCTTTGTAAGGTGTTCATCTTCTAAATCTCTGCATATATACTATTCGGTTAAGTTGATGAATATAAACTTAGATTCATAATGTTTCAAAAATATTAAAATCGTGATGTTTATCAACGATATTTAAAAACCTTAAAGGAAATTACAGAGACCAAACATGAAATAGAATTTATTATTGATTATGTCTCTCTTTTTCCCTATAGATCTATTCCAAAGTATTAAGGCCAATGGGGTTACCTGATATCAAGATCATTTCAATTTCAAAAGTATGGGATGAGCAAAAATTGGCCACAACATACACTGCAAAATTTGAAGCACCTAACAATGTAACATTTGAGGCGGGCGAGTACACTATAAGTGTAGTAAAAGGTAAGTATACAAGGAATCTCTCGGCTTTCCTTTATTTGACTTCATTTGCATGTATAGGATTCATTGTTGATGTTCATTCCATTTCGTTTTCAAATAAAAAAGAACTGTTTCCTTTTTCGTGATGTCAGCATAACATTGGAATAAAAAAGTGTTTCTGTATATTTAAATTTTTTCATAAACTGCATTTTATGCGACTGTCATACAAGTGAGAGGTTTAGCTAGCTATAAAACCAGGTTAAATCCACCATTTTCTACATAAGAAAATGCCTGTACCAAGTCAGGAATATGACAGTTGTTATCCATTCGTTTGATGTGTTTGAGATTTTGACTTTGCCATTTGATTAGGGACTTTCCGTTTTGAATTTTCCTTGGAGTTCGGTATTTTTGTTATTTTACTTTTTGATAAAATAAAAAGTACCGGTGAACACGTCTACGTCTATTTATTTCGATGATCCTCAGGACCCAACTAAAACGTTGATCCTATTTGGTTATTCCGAGGAAATGGCAGCATTTTCCTTGACTTTGCTGAAATGTAAAACTAATATGTCACATGAATGCATAAAATAAACTAAATACACTTAAACATCAAATAAAAAGGCTAGTTTTTTATACGGAATATTCAAAACATTAACGGTAACGATTCTACTGAACCTGATTCGCATTTCGACCATTAATGTCTCTTCAGTGATGCTCGTGCCTATGTTTCAGAGGTGGGAGAAAGGCATCTTCAAAGGGGAAAAAGAGGGGTAAGAGATACCAAAAGGACATGCAAACTCATAAGACGAAAATAAACTGACAACGCCATAGCAAAAAAAAGGGGGAACATGATCAAAAGACAAACCTTCTCTACATGTGGCACCCGTCAACAAACAATGTATCTGAAAGACACAAATAACATACAGGAACAAGAATATTTTTGAACGTAATGTTGTAGTCATTGTTTTCCATCATTCTAAATGGAAACTAATTGCGTCTTTAAAGAAATTAGGCTAAAATAAAATTGAGAATGGAAACGGGAAATGTTTCAAAGAGACAACCCGACCGAAGAGCAGAAACAATATATTTAAAAAAAAACATACCTCTAAAGAGATGAATGGTTTGTTCATTTGTCGAATTTTGCAAATCTAAATAAAACGAAGCAAATCAAGTCATATGATTTTTATATTCAAACAATTTTTGAAAATCAAATACACAGAAATTGCATCATAATTGGTTACTGTAGAATAAAATCAAATGGCTGAAAACGAAATTTTGCATTCATTTTTTTCTAAGATTGCAGATTTCTTTATTCAGGCCATTTTGAAATATAAATAGTCTTTCTAACTTCCATGAAAAGAAGTTTTCAAGATCACGTGGAGTTTCTGTGACATACTTGGACCTCTATTAAACCGTTATGTATAACAGCACACTGATTTTAACATCTGTTTGTGTTGTTGGTTTCTTTTACATACCATTTAAGTAAGACGTAACGAGTTGCATATGAGGTCATTCCGTTGATATAATTTAAACACAATATATACATGCCTTAAATTTATTGTTTTGTCTTTTTTCATCTAGAAAACAGTGGAAATGTATTTGCAGTTAGTGTAGAAGTGCCGAAAAAAAGAAAACTATTGAACCCAAGAATTACTGCGCGGTCGGCGACTGAAAACATGACCGTTTCCATTAAAACGTCAACGAAGAAGAACATTCAGACAAATTTTTATTTAACCAGTTGTCAGTATCAAATACTACAGAATATAACACAGACATCTCTCTCACATGTTAAAACGTATCAAGCAATAGTAACTGACTGTGCACGTGGGGCTTACGAAATACACGATTATTTTAGGATCGTTGTTAATGGTTTAGATTCCATTCCCGACGGAACACATCCGATGGATATTGACAAACAGTACACTGATAAGTATTTCAACGAAACAACGAAGTACAGCAGATACGATGAAAATTACGAAACTGTGGTCACATCTTCCATCAATTTTTCGACAATGAATGCTGATAGCGTAGAACTAGCAGAATTTTACTTTCATATTCTTGCCATAACTCATAATCAGAACGACCTTGTCGGTAATATACTGCTACAATGGGGAAAAGACTTACAAACAGATACATAAAAATATAATAATTAAATCCTGCCTTAATTATTAGTTTTCTAAAAGACCATTCGATTATTTTGATATATTTTATGTTTTTAGAAATAAAGAGATGTAGTACGATTGCAAATGAAACAAATTTGCACCAATGAAAAAATGACATGGATGGGAGAAACTACAAATATTTGGATATTTTTGGGGTATATTTTCATTGTCTGTTTGTTAATCCATCAATCCTTGAATTTCAAAACTGAAAAACAAAATGAAGCTGAATATAATGACAGATCAATTATCAACGAAATATAAATTTGTGTTATATGCTACAAACATATTCTTTGTAACCCTACTCTGTATTATCTTTCTAGAAGTTTGCAGGATGGGGATATTTAGGCTAATTGTGTTATTGTACATTTATTAAATATAGGCTGAAAAAATGCCGACTGCATAGTAATTCGGAAAGATTCTTTTGAAATAAAATCGTACATTTCTTTGTGTAATTTGCTACGAATGAAATTATAGGGCCAACGTCAACATTGTCGAAAAATTTGTTGTGTCTATTGTCCCGTTTCGTATTGGTGTCATTCTAATTAATCCAGTGTACATGTGTACACATGTATTTTCCCTCTGCTACCCTCCCCCCTCCTTTTCCTCAATCATTATCCATTAATCATTCCCGTTTTTCCATATGATTTAAACTAAATATGTCACAGAGACATTTTCTGTTTTCTTTAATCAACGTGTAAGCTTTTTCATTCGTTATATTCTTAAAAACTAGTATGACGTTGATTTTGAAATGAGGCATAAAAAGTAAAATAACAAAAACTCCAAGGAAAATTCAAACCGGAAAGTCTTTTATCAAATGGCAATATCAAAAACTCAAACACATCAAACGAATGGAAAACAACTTTCATATTCCTGACTTGGTACAAGCCACGATATAACATGCGAAGCATTTTAATGCAATTTTTTTGTCATAAATTTTTTCATTAGCTAAAATATACAGTCAATATAAAAATATGAAGATATGGTGTGATTGCCAATAAGACAACTATTCAACTGAGACGTGTCAATTGAAGGGTTGCCGCCATTTTAATGGCTCCCGTACACGTCGCTAGTAAACTCCATTTTAAATTACAGGATTTTCACAAATTTTCGATTAATACAATTCATATTTTTCATTAATAAATCCACCTTCAATAAAAGCAAAATACATTTAGATGCCAAAACAGTCTTCAAATTGACATGTTTTCCAACAATGTTAAATAGAGTCCACATAAGCTTGAATTTACAATGCACATGCTTACAATCTCATATTCAAAACACATTTTCAAAGTACTAGGAAACTATTTCATTTTGTTTCAGTGTTAGTTCTTATATGTGGATCTTTCATGGATTTGATGAATAAAATAATTATTTTTCTAAAATAAACTCCCTTCCAACAACCCGTCAAAACATCGACATCGTTTGTATTTATTAATCCAGGGACATTAACAGACATAAGTTTCCTCGAAAAAAATGACAGTTCCTGTCATAAAGAAAGTTACTTTTATAGGTGCCACATGTGGATAGGATCTGCTTACCCTTCCATGGCATCTGATTTAAAGGTGCCACATGTGGATAGGATCTGCTTACCCTTCCATGGCACCTGATTTACAAGTGGTTCGTGTTGCTCTGTCTTCAGTTTTCTATGTTGTGTTTTGTAAACTTTTGCTTTTTTTTTTTGTGTTTTCGGTTGGTTTTTTTCCCATGGCGTTGTCAGTTTGATTTTGACTAGAGTTTGAATGTCCCTGTGCTATCTTTCAGTTATCTTTTTTTTCTTTTACAGTTTCTGTCAGAAAGAAAGTTAAGTTTCTACAATTCTTTCACTCTGGACTGGGGGAAAATGCAATTAGATCATTACAGTGATTTATTTATAATCTGTGTGATGTTTTTAAATCTGGCTCAGACCTATTTTTTGTACACCGATACTTTGAAGTTGATTGGAAACAATAACATGTATTTTCGTCATATTTTTCTTAACTTCATAACATAATTAGTATATTTAGTCAGCAACAACTTTACAAAAAAAGAGTTGTAACGTGTAGCCGCCTTTCGGATATGTCTGACACTTATTTCCTTTTGGCAGAAACTTTGAATTTTTCTATTTATTAATTGAATTTAATAATCTTGACAATATTCTTCAGTATCACTCAACATTATGAAATTAATTTTAAGTTCGCTGCTTGACAACAAATGAAAGTTATGAATGGCAGCGCCTTTCGGATCCCCTATTGTGCCTCAAAATGAGTAACCCGATTATAATAAGCACATTTAAGGTCCCTTTACAATGATGTAGGACATGGCGCTTTTTTTAATGATTGATCGAGCTTAACCATGCGTGCTCTTCTGAAGAGCAGAATGATTTCCATACAATAGAAAACTAAACATTTTAAAGTTATTAAATCAGTCCTCAATTAAACTGATTGAAAGATTATGTCTTCCTCATATGAATATTAACCAAAATCCCTCCCGTTAGGGGTTGAGTAATTTGCCATCATTAATTATATGAGAGGAACATAACCCAACAACTGGTTTTAGAATAAATGTGCTTATTTCCGATGCAAAGACTCTATGAGTGAATCAATATTAATTCCAAACAAGGCACCTTATGTGACTTGACAACAGTATCGTAAGTATATCTATTGTGAATAAGTCTGTTTAAAGGTTTGATAAGCTTTTGAGGTGAATGACGATAGTTTTGTAATTTGTAGAGAATTAACTTGTCAACATTTCATAGGATGAACACGATTGGTGTCACTAGTGGAGCACTGAGATCAAACCCGATTTTTGGTGGAGTTCAGTCTTAAGATGTTTGTCGGTTGGAGAATGCACAGTGATCAAAAGTTGTCAATTCGCTTAACGTTTGACTATTTTATATTATATAGTGAAGGACAAATATCAGTTGATATATGTACTCCAAAAATAAACGTGTCGATTTGATAAAACGGAGGTGGATGAGAGGAAAATCACATTAGATACCAGGCTTTTAACTTTGTACGCTAGGTCCGCGTTTCGTCTACATAAAACACATCAGTTGCGCTTTAATCAAAATAGTTTGAAGTCCAATTAAAGTAGGAATTGGAAGACAAACAATTACAACAAGTTGTGTCAATTACGACTAACGTCATTTTAACCTGCAAGAAGAAATTTGAATAATTCAATATTTTTAGAAATAATTTATTTATAAAAATTACCGTTCTTTATTTATTTATATTTTGTGATTTCGAGCCTTTAATATTTATTATATACGGTAGTAGTTTTACTTATTGTTGAAGGCCGTATCGTGACCTATAATTGCTTAGTTAATTTGATATCTGGTAGATAGTTGTCTTACCAGCAATTACACCACATCTTCTTATTTTCTTATCATAATTTGGTACGCTAGACACGCTTTCGGCTATTTAAGACTCATTAGTGGCACTCGAACCAAAATAAAATGATGGCAAAGTAAAGTAAAAAGTTAAGAGCGTTGAAAACCAATCATTTCCAACAAGTAAATGAAACTTTGGCTAAGCCATTCATTCCTCGGGATAGAAATATCTTATCTATTTTGAATGAATATAAAGTTTTCAGAACCGTGAGTTTACAACAAAATCCACGATACCGGTCTGATAACCATCACTTTAACTTGTTCGTGATTCCAAATGACAGTTGTAGCTGTCATTGTTATTAGCCGGCTACTTTTAACGATATTTCGAAGTGTTTAACTCCGAACAGACTGATATTTTAACAAAAAAACAAAAAATCTGGTAAAAATTGAATCGATCTTTTATAAGTTAAGAACAATGATAAACGGCTGATATAAATTATTCCTTCTCGCCTTACGTGGAAAATATTTGATATCAAGTGTAATATAAGTTTAATATTTGAACCCTGACAAGCTAGGTTATTTGCTTGTTTAGGAAGTAAATCGTAAAACAGAGGCGAAAGATACCAACGGGACATTCAAACACATAAGTCGAAAATTAATTGACAACGCCATGGCTAAAAAAGAAAAAAAAACAGAAAAACAACAATTCAAAAAATATAACATAACGTAACTGCCATAAAGACGAGTGGTAAACTTTGACTGGGCTTCAAAGAACCGAACACTAACATATTTTATTTTACACAGCTCGGTGTGTTTGTATTTATTTATTCTGAAAATAGACGCACTCGATTAGTTATATTAAGTGGAAAATATCGATTGATTCGATTCTTCAAATTTATATGTAATCTATTTTTATATCTTCATGCTAAAATAATAACTGGTTGAAGTCAGATATATGTAATGTTCATTCATATGTATATTTATGTATGTATTGGAGAAGACGTTACTAAGTTGAAAAACTCATGTTTAATCCATTTGTCATTTTTGAACAATAAAATATGTTCAAACTAAAGAACCGAATTCGAACTATAATACTGGCTCAGATAGAGTAACTACAACAAAAACATCATATTTATGTCAGAGAAATAAATCAAATTAACAAAGGATGCTACGGTTTTCATTTTATAAACTCAAGAATCATTGAATGGACACTTCTTTGTAGTTTTTTCTAATGAAATGTTGATTTGGCATTTAGATATAGTAAAGATACAACATTATAAAATGAAATAAAAGAAACGAAAGAAACATCAGAAATATTAATAGAACTTTGGAAACGTTGAAAAACACATTGTTTGTAAATTTACAAATCCATAGTATTACTTATTTATTTAATTTGTCTTTGTATCGTCCTTCAACGCCATGAAAACAGTCTGTCATTCATCTAATAGTTACAAATTTCCTCAACCATATGTACCAAGAATTACTTCTCATTCCCACGAAAAATAATCATGATAATTGAACTTTACATTAATTTCAGTGACCTTTGCAGTAATTCCAAATCACCTAACCTTGACAGATGATATTTATATCCATGTATATGGTTTATGATCTTAGTCACATCTTTAATCCTTGCAATGCTGACTTGGGTGCTCATTCTTTGTTTTTACCAGATAAAACTGTTTTCAGCATATGATACCAATGATGTACCAAAGGCAAGTCATTTCTTAACATTATTTAATTTGATCTAATAAATTTAGATTTTTTGTTAACTTAATGTATGTATACAATATTAAATAGATCAAGAACAATAAATATAAATTTACAATTTAGAAAAATAAAAACATTTTATTCCTGAAAAAAGTTTTGGCTTCAAACTATAAATGTGAACTGTTCCTGAAACAAACAAACCAAAACTAAAAACCAAATAATGTTTTTTTTTTTAAATCTGACTCATTTATTATTTATGAGATTTTTTTCTTAAGCATGTACAAGAATTCGTTTCTCGCAACATTATAGCGTAAAAAATGTTTGGTCAGTAAAATGAAAATTGCTTTATCCGTAGGTGATAATTCCTATATTACTTTTCATCAATGTTGAATTATTCAGTAAGGTTGTTATCTAAACATTATTTGGCATCCTAACT